ACTAACAAAGGAGGAAAAAAGCAGAACAGTGAAATTTGGCTAGAGAAAAAAACCACAAGTGTCTTCGACGCCATTTAAGTTCGCCCCGATAAACGCGCTCCCGGTGGCAGAGTAGGAGCCTGCTGTTCTCTTCTTCCTCCTTGCTTTCACAGTTGAATGTGGCATAGTTTCAAGAGTAGAGCATACAGTCCTTGAAACAATCTCCATAAATTTTAGTATTTGTTTCTACAACATTCAAGTTGGTGATAACACATGCCAGCTGATTTCCCCATATATACAAACAAAATACGTGGGAGAAAAAGTAGGACTAGGGGAGGGGGGCATTTGGTAGGATATTGACCGCTCCATAACTATTCTTTGACACCAGGAAAGTATTTGTGTACCAGTCCAAGAATTCACTCCAGGAAAACTTAGGTGAAACTGTCATTTAGGTAAAACACAATAAGCTTTACAGATGTCAGGTTTAACCACCTGAAACTTAAAGAGAAAAATTCTTTGTTCCGGGCCATGAGAGCAAATATACACCAATAGATCCTGGACCACATATTATCTGAATTGAGCAGATCCTCCTGGAAAAGCTTCTAGGGCACATGAATATAAAAGTGATTGGTGGCAGCCGACACGGCTTCACCAAAGGCAAATCCTGTCTGACAAACTTGGTGGCCCTCTGCAATGGCGTTACAGTGTCAGTGAATAAGGGAAGTGCAACTGATGTCATCTACCTGGACTTGTGCAAAGCATTTGACGCTGTGCCACATGATATCCTGGTTTCTAAACTGGAAGGATACGAGTTTGATAGATGGACCACTCGATGGATAAGGAATTGGCTGGATGGTCACACTCAGAGAGTTGCAATCAACAGCTCAATGCCCAAGTGGAGATCAGTGACAAGTGATGTCCCACAAGGATTGGTACTGGGACCAGTGTTGTTTAACATCTTTGTCGGTGACATGGACAGTGTCATTGACTGCACCCTCAGCAAGTTTGCCAATGACACCAGACTCTGTGGAGTGGCTGACACACTGGAGGGAAGGGATGCCATCCAGAGGGACCTTGACAGGCTTGAAAGGTGAGCCCATGCCAACACCATGAAGTTCAACAAGGCCAAGTATAAGGTCCTGCACCTGGATCAAGGCAATTCCAAGCACAAATACAGGCTGAGGAGAGAGCAGACTGGGAGCAGCCCTGAGGAGGACTGAGGTGTATTATTTGACAAGAGGCTCAACATGAGCTGGCCGTGTGCACTTGCAGACCAAAAAGTGAACCATGTCCTGCGCTGCATCAAAAGCAGAGTGACCAGCAGATCGAGGGAGGTAATTCTTGCCCTCTGCTCTGCTCTGGTGAGGCCCCACCTGGAGTACTGCGTCCAGTTCTGGAGCCCACAGTACAAAAAGGACACGGATCTGCTGGAGTGGGTCCAGAGGAGGGCCAAGAAGATGATTAGAGGGCTGGAGAGCCTCTGCTATGATAGGCTGAGGGAGCTGAGGTTTTTCAGCTTGGAGAAGGGAAGGCTCCAGAGTGACCTAACAGTGGCCTTCCAGTACATCAAAGAGGCCATCAGGAAAGCTGGAGCAGGGCTTTTTAGGAGGGCCTGTAGTGATAGGACAAGGGGCAATGGCCTGAAACTGCAAGAGCACAGATTTAGATGAGATATAAGGGAAAAAATTCTTCTCCATGAGAGTGGTGAAGCACTGTAACAGGTTGCCCAAGGAGGCTGTGGATGTCCCATCCCTGGAGGTGTTCAAGGCCAGGCTGGATGGGGCTCTGAGCAACCTGGGCTAGTGGGAGAGAGGTGTCCCTGCCCACAGCAGGGGAGCTGGAACTAGATGGTCTTCAAGGTCCCTTCCAACCTTAACCATTCTATGATTCTATGAACAAATACTGTTAGGAGGATATTTTCAACTTTTCAGGCCTGTACTTGAGAGGAAGAATCAAAGTAAAACCTCAGCTAAACTTAAAAGAAAGCAAAGGAGCATAAATTACTCTTGCATTCCAGACAGTTCTGTTTTGTTTCTCTACCTGCACAAACACTTTGTATCATTTTAGGCTACAGCTACATTGCTTAGAAATCCTGCTGCACATAGTAATATGAATTCCTCAACTGAAAAACAAGGAGAGTTTGAACAAGGGAGTTACAACCAAGGAAGAACTGAAACATGCCTTGAACTTGAATCACAGAATCACAGAATGTCAGGGGTTGGAAGGGACCTCAAAAGATTATCTAGTCCAGCCCCCCTGCCAGAGCAGGATCACCTACAGTAGGTTACACAGGAACACATCCAGATCGGTTTTGAATGTCTCCAGAGAAGGAGACTCCACAATCTCCCTGGACAGCCTGTGCCAGTGCTTTGTCACCCTCACAGTGAAAAAGCTTTTCCCAATATTTTTGTGGAACCTCCTATGTTCCAGCTTGTTCCCATTGCCCCTTGTCCTGTCATTGCACGTCACTAAAAAGAGCCTGGCACCATCCTCCTGACACCCCCCATTACATATTTATAAACATTAATGAGGTCACCCCTCAGCCTCCTCTTCTTCAAGC